GCCTCGTACAAGGCTTCGCGCGTTACGTCGCAAAAGCGTCGTGCTCTTACATGGAATAACGCCGGAGATGGAACGAGCGAGAATCGTATCGCTGAATTTCCACTCGAACAATGTTGTCGCTGGATTGAAACACGGAAAGCTCCTATTCAGGTAGTTGCTGGTAACAGGGCGCGCTGGAGCGTGTTTCCTTACTATTGTAAAATGCAACATAAAACAAGAGGCGACGAAATCGTCTTAGGGTTGCGAAGCAACACTTGTAACATGTGCCATTACAGGTCGCCACAATCTCTCTATAACGGCGGCATTGTCTTAATTTTCAATCGAGATAAAAAATTGCGCGAGCGATGCTTCATATGAGCACCAATCTTGTCTCTCAATTTCAATCTCAATAATGTATTTGAATTTCAACATCGTTGTGTTTTGTTCTACTTACTTGCAATTTGTGGAAAAATGAATTAAACACGTTTTTTTGAAGTTATCAAGGATTAAATAACAGAGCGTTCTCCTTCAATTTGCAAAAGCTAGATTAGTGTTTCGCAAGCGAGACTCGAACCCACCCTTCTACTTTCCCGACTCCTCACCCAACTCGCGAGGACAACGAGTTATGTTCGTCGAAAGAGCAAAATTTACCATACTTTAGTTTTCTGTGGCAGCACATCATCTAGGGTTTTGTCCTCTCTCTCCGTCCCCGATATGTTTGTGGGGAGCTCACCTTACGTCCTTGCTCTCGTTTTGTCTCTAGCTCACCTCAACTAGCTTCCTTGGTTAGGTAATCTTCAGCTTCTCTTTGCTTATGCCATAATTCAGCCTCTCTCTCTCTCTCTCTCTCTCTCTCTCTCTCTCTCTCTCTCTCTCTCTCAAGCGGTCCTTGTATTGATATAACGGGTCAGTACAAACGATCGAGGCAGCGTAGAAACAGGCAACACCAGAGACTAAAAGAACAACCTAGCAGCAAACCAGATCCTAAGAACAACCTACAACCCCACCCACCAACCACCACCCCCCCCCCCCCCCCCACTGGAAGCTCTTAAGGGAGCTCAGCAGTAGGTTCGAGCACCACAAAACAGTCCCCCAGGGACATTTCCTCGCCAGGGGCCCCGACAAGAGGGTTCAGGGCCTCTGCTGCCATGTTGCACTTGGCCATGTAGCTTACGGCCTGCGCGCGCTGAAGGGCGACCGACCATCTCTGGCGGAACTGGTTGAGTAGTTTTGCCGCCTGGTAGGTTGAAGGGTCGGCGTTGAAGAGCTTGCGTGCAGCCGTGTGAGCCAAGAGCTTGAGGAAAGCGGGGACCTCTGCGCATGGGCAGCCATAAGTCTCGACTGCGAGGGGTACGAATGAGACGTAGGCTGCCGGGGAGCCGCTGTAGTCTGAGATTTTTTTTTCAGCGGCTTCCCTGGCAGCCCACCCCCTCCCTTTCACCGCATTGGGGTCACACGTGCTGATGGGGTCGGTGATGGTGACGTCCCCGATCCATACTGCCCCTGAGGACCGATCACGAATGGCTAGGTCCGCTGTCTTCCTAGTGACCGGGCAGAACTCCGCCGTTTCCTTGTGCACCATGAACCCGGCGTACTGTGCCATCCTAATGCACTCATCCCTCAGCTCGTTGTGAGTATTTGTCCTTCCCCCTCCTGTGGCGCAGCGTAGCAGATGGTTTGGAAGCCGATTGTCTGGGATGGGAACCTGCTTGGTGCAGTCACAAGCGCCGGGGGCTGAAAATGGTAGTCCTAGCCTGAACTGGAGGGCTGTGGCAAAGTGGGGGCCGTCGAGCCTCAGGGAGGGCATGAGCGGGACTGCATGGAGCCAGTCCCCGGCTCCGTACCCTGACAAAGAGAGAAGGCGCTGCGTATGGCCGCTATTGGGGTTTGGGGTCATGCCCCGTGTGCTCTCCACCTGGTTAGCATATCTTCTGCCCTGAACTGCCAAAGCTAGCCCCTGCTGCAGCTTCACACCCGTGGGAGCAGCCCTGTCACTCTGTAGTAGCTCCCGGGCATCACTCGGTAGGTCTGCCTCGCACTGAGCTAGCCAGCGGTACAGAGCGCAGGAGTCTGTGTACGGTCCCATCATCTGCACCCGTGTCCCCGTCAGGGGCCCTAGCTGGCTATCTTCAAGGGTTGAGAGCAGCTGCTGTGCTTGGGTAAAGCTAGCTAGGTAGCTGTAGCTGCCCTCGACCGCGGGGTCAGTGATTCCGAGGCCCCCAAGTGATACTGGCAGCGAAGCTTGGGACCATGTACGAGAGATCTCAGCATCACCCCGCGGATGCCTAATGCCACATGCCGTTAACTGAGTCTCAAACAACTGCCTGCCCCAACCGGACCACTCATTCAGAGGCAAATGCATGAGGGGTGTGGTCCGGGTGAGGTAAGAAACTCGTCTTGAGATACACCTGGAGAGTAGCAGGGCAGCCAGCTGAGGTTCCATCCGTGATATCAAGCCAAGAGGTGCCGCCATGGAGCTGAGGTTTGAACGAATGAAGTCTGCTGTGGCCTCATCGGAGCCTATGAAACTGCCTAGCAGCTTCACGCCGTTTCTAGTGAACAGGACACCCTGGGGTAAGGCAGAGGTGGGGATGCCTGACTGTGACCAGGCCGCGCATTTAGATGGGTTATGATGCAGGCCAATTGGCATGAGGCTCTCTGTGAAGTGCTGAAACGCTGCTACGCAGGTAGATTGCTCCCCTAGGAAGGTGACGTCGTCTGCGTACGCTAGGCAGGCTACAGTAGGGAAGGCTTGGGCTGTAGCTTGTAGCGCGGGATTGATTGCAGCTGCAAACAGCAGTGGCCCAAGAGGGTCTCCCTGCCGAACTCCCGTCATGCTTAGCAGGGGCTCATGTTTGAAGCCCTCGTCCAGGTAGAGCGGTGAGGGGGCCCCGTAGGTGAGCTGTACTAATGGTAGTAGTGGTGCTAGAGCCGAGTTGTCTAGCGCGGATGCTATTGCGGCTCTGTTGACACTGTTGAAGGCGTTGGCTAGGTCTGCGTGGAGGACTAGTGCGTGAGGATTTTCAGATAGGTAGGCGCGGGTGATGTGGATAACCGCCTCCGCTCCCCCAGGCACTGCCACGCCGAACTGGTGTGGCATGAAGAATTTTCTTGCTGCCCCTGCTGTCAACATCAGAGCTGTTTTGGCGGCGAGTCTGGTGATGCTTTCACCAATAGCGATCGGCCTTGTCCCTTCGTCTGGTTTGGAGAGAGCCAGTAGGCGAGACGCTGTGAGGAGCCTAGCGACAGGGGATGGCAGTTTCCCTGTCAGAATGGTGTTGACCATTGCGTGGATGTTTGTCGCTACTGACTGGTTGAATAGACACGCCTCCCGCACATGCTCGAATGTCAGACCTGATGGGCCCGCCCCAATCCCATTATCACAGCGTGACAGAACTCTGAGAAACTCGGGCAGGGTGGCTGTCAAGTGGGCGTTGGAGTCAGGTACCGGCCAAACGAGGGGTGCTTCAGGAGCAGGTGGGTGCTTGGCGCATAGTGCTTCCAGGATTGCTGGTGACGGGGTGCACACCGGCGTCGCCTCCAAGGCAAGAACCGCTCTCCTTAGGCTGCCACGTCGCGCAAGGCCCTCTGCCCTTGCAATCACTCCTAGGTCGTCAGGGGTATGCCTGGGCGCTTGAGGGTAGGTCAGAGATTCGAGCATGTCAGAGTACAATGCACTCCACTCCCCCGCCAAGAACTGTCGTAATCTTGCTCTGACTGCAGGGCAATCCGGTTTTTGAGGAGTGTGTTGTCTCAGCGTCAGGCGTGCGAGGAACAGGAAAACTGTCCATGCTGTCAGTGATTCTGGGTTGTCAGCCAGTCGGAGCAGAGGTGCTAGTAGCGCTGTCGCGAAGATTGGGCGGATGTCCTGTGGGAGGTGGCGTGGCAGAGGTGCGTTGCGAGTGTCGCAGCGTTTCGTCAAGTCCCAAGTTTCCACGGCAGCGAAAAGCGTGTTATCAGCAGCCAGTGCCTTTGGCGATTTTTCCTCCAGCGGTGGTGGGAGAGTTGGCTGGGTGGTGGTGGGTTGGGTTCGGCCAGGAGGGGCGGCCCGACCAGTTGGTGCAAGATTTGGCGCGGCTCGGGAGGGGGAAATGTTTGCAGATGCGGTTCGGTTTCGGGGGCCGGCCAAATTCCTCGATGCGGTTTGTCTTGGTGCTGCGATTCTCTCCTCAGGCAGGCACAATTCCTCTTCGACTGCGTCTTCCTGAGGACTCAGCTACCTCTGTGGGAATATAAGTAGCGTCTCGAGCTTCTTCCTCTTCAGTAGTTGCTTCTCGAGTTAAAGCCCTTCGCGCTGCTCGTTGGAACCCGTTCTCCGGTCCGCCGTTTCGTCCACCCGTGTTCTGCTGCCCCGCGCCTCGTCCTCGCCGAGATGCCTGTCGCACTTGGGGACGATCTCGTGTATTCGCCAAGGCCCTTTGCCGTGGCGTCAGCTGTCGTTGCCCCTCCCGCTATATCGGCACCGGCTCCGGCGCCTGCGGGGATGTCGCCCCCTCCCGATCCTGTGTCTGCGCCGTCGCCTGTGCCTCCTGCTGACCTGGCCCCTGCGCCTGTTGTGGCGCCACCCCGTGCCGTGGCGTCATCGTCCGCGCCTGCTGTGGTGACAGCCCCTGCTCCTGTAGTGGCGCACCTTGGGGCACGCGGTGTGGCGTCTGCTCCTGCGCCTGCTGCGGCGACTGCACCGGTGCCGGCAGCCGCGTCTGCTCCTGCGCCTGCCGCGGCGCCTGCTCTGGCGCAACCTCCTGCGCCCGCTGCTGCGGCTTCGTATGCGGCTGCTGTGGCGGCCTCCGTGCCGCCACAGGCTGCGCCCGCCGGGGCGCCTTCTGCTGCTGCTGCTGACCCGTATTACCAGCCGCCTCCAGCCACCAGCGCCGTCCTGTACCAGGCGGGGGATGACGCTTCGCCATCGGCTCCTGCGTCATCCCCTACTGCCCGGCCGGCTCAGCGTCATCCGTCCCCACATCGCCGTCCCTCTCGTCCTCACTCACCATTGCCGCGAGATGAGCGGCAGTCGTCGCGAC